GTATTTTTAGTCGCTACTGAGTCGGTGACCACAGTGCGCACAAGCTTCTCCTTGACCCACGCAGACAAAGGCCCTTTGTACTCCAACAAGTCCCGACGAAGGCTGACTTTCTCACCGTTCAAATTCTCTCGATAAGAGCTATGTTCTGGCCCAAGGATCACTACGAACCACTAATCGTGCAGTCGAACAATGCAGTCCAGTCATTTTTTTGTTTTGGTTTTCTTGATAAGGGCCAAACGTGTTCCATACAAATCACGCTTATTTCACATCCAAACAATAGTAATTGGAGACGGTCATTTAGCAAATGCTGGGTCTTTCGCTCCAACAACTGTGCTCAATGCATTTCATTTTCGATCAAACGAAAAACATTTCAGTCCGAGATTGGCTGAGCTGGCGCAGACTGCATTCCAAGCCATTTATGAACATTTTCAGGGTAAGGCTGGCTGAGGCGGTTCGGTGGGCTTTTGCTTGCAGCGCTTTTCTGCCTTTTCACTCACAAATGACTTACTAAAGCCTCTCATCAAGTATAAATACATGAATGAATAATACTAATGAGTTTTGCCGTGCCCCCCCCGGCCCCCTATACAAGAATGCTTAATTTGAGCAAGTCCACATTGATGGCAGCAAACACTGTCGCACTCCACTGCAGTTGTTTTCCACAATCCAACTGAATGGAGTTCTCTTGATGTCGAGTACTCCCACAGGTGACGTTTCAGGAATTTCTGGACCTGAAGCGGACCATCTTCCTGCTTCTCGGGTCGTGTAAACAAAGCCCCGGCAGGTTCACGCCGGGCTCAAAATGCTGTTTGTTTTTCGAGAGGGAACAGGCTCTTACGCAAGCACAACAGCATGTGCGAGGGAAATGGTTCGCTACGGCCTCGGCCGTTGACCCTCCCGGCCCGGCCAGCTTCCTGGCGGGGATGTTGAATTCTCTGCCGCTTCCTCGCTGTCATGGCAGCCAGCAATTTGGAGATGCGCGCAGCCTCTTTGGCTAACGTGGGAACAAACATGGATTTTTTTTTTTTTTAAACCACGCGCGGGGCCATGACGTAAAGTTCTGTTGGATTCCTTTTGGAGGCTTTGGTATGTGTGCGGGGGTGCTACGGACTGCTGGCTCTCTGCTTTTCAATGCCCCATTATTGACAGTGCTTCCTGTCCCAAGCATCGCACATCAAGTCAAGCTTCGGGACTCTTTCATTAAACAAGAATGATTGAACTAATGAAAGCTGTTCCAAAAAAAAAAAAGAAGTGGCATTGTGGCTGTTTGACTGCATGACAACGTATTTTTGAAATGCAAACATTAGGAAAGGGTCGTTTTGGATAAATAACGTGGCGGCACGGTTTCCATAGGAACATTAAAAGGGGCAGAAACGTTGGACTTGCATTTGCGTGTGACGTGTTCAGTCTTTGGTCGAAGCTGTCAGGGCAGGCAGCGTCATTTGTTGTACGGCGGAACGGTGGGTTCCAAATTGAATTAGTTCCAGGCGTGGCCAGCTATTGTGACGTGATTGCGCCAACTTGAGTTCAAGAGAATTTGCAGTTCAATAAATAAACATACTGCAGATACTGCAAATGCCCAAATTGCACTTCAGTAATGAGCAGCTGCAACACGGAAGTCAATGAGTCATCGCAATATGAAATCCAAGCGAATATCATCCAGCTTGCTTCCTGGAACGCTCTCAACAGTTCCCAGTCAACAGCCGACAACTGGATCTGCCGGTACCCGGGTCGCTGCGGCTTTAGGGGCCGCTTTGGGACCCAGTTGGAGGTTGCTCAACAGCAACAGCTCCCAACAGCCGCGGCTGCATCAAAGCGCTGCGCCGAACGTTTCCCGGGAACAGAAAAAGGTTCCAAATGTTCCAAAGCATGAAGTTGGCCCTGGCTGGCTGTTCCCCCTCAGTGCACTTTTTGCTTCTGACACAACAGGCGGCGCAAACGAACCATCTTCAGACCAGATACGCTGCTCTTTGCTTTTGATGCGGTTTATAGTTACACTTATGAAATGTGTTTCTTCGTTGTCCAATCGGTGTATTTTTAGGAGCGGCTGTATCTGATCTGTCACTTTCCATTGCAGTCACATTGGCAGATTCTCTTGACATTTTTTTTTCTTAATCCACATTTAGAAAACTCCTTGTTTGGATAAGAGGATATCCGATTTCATGCATTTTCTCTTTTTTTTTTTTTTTAAATTTCTCTTCAGTGTCGAAATGTGAGGACACAACGTTTTCCCAAATTCCAGAGTTAAAGAGCAGTTGGAAAAGAACCGTGCACACTGACGCGCATAAGGTCAGGGCCCTGCTCTTGCTGCGCGGGATCGGGCCAGATGGCCTCCCAGTGGAGAGACCGTAGACACATGGGCGCATCGTGTGAGGGACACTCCTACATCCTCTCTACGGTAGTTGCCAACCGAAATGTGTTTCGTGAGTTGCTTACTCGCTTCACGGGGACTGCAAAGTAACTCCGTGCTTTCCAGGGAAAATTTAGAACGGCCCTTGAGACACTGGCACCGTCACCCTTCTGTGGCCAGAGTGCACGCAGGGCGGACGAGGCTTCAGCGTAGGGGGGACAAATGCGGCTATTGGCTTGACGGCAAAGAAAGTATGGGCCATGCTATGGCTCTCTGATTGTCTGTACAGAAAGGTCGTCAGTGGGGGGCGGGGAACGTTCACAGCCGTTCCAATTTACAAAGAGACTCATGAACTTGGGAGAAGAACGTTCTAGCCTCCGTTCTTCTTCATATTGACAAAGTGCCACGGCTGCCAGTGAGGAATACAGAGAGAGAAAAAGATGTCCGAGGTTTGAGGTTACTTTGAACAAAAAACAAAGGACCAAAACAAGTTCCATGTAATTACTACAAAGTGGAGCTGGGATAGCTCAGAGAGAAAATTTCCACTCGGGGGTTTAAAAAAAAAAAAAATTGTCCTGTGGCGGGAGGGCAATTGCTCCCGTAATGGATGGAATAATCAATAGGATAATCAATTCTACAAAGATTTGTTACTGACAGCCCTACATCCACTCCATTCATTTACACAATACTTTGTGCGTGTGCGTGTGCGTGTGTGTGTGTGTGTGTGTGTGTGTGTGTGTGTGTGTGTGTGTGTGTGTGTTCGCTACAACGAACCGTGGGAAGCAAACTGCCGCCGCGACCTTTCTTATGAACAAAATGTACGGTGCGGGATTCCCCGCCGTTGCTTTGCAACTCTACCCAGCCACTTGGTAGCGTTGTTGTACTTCGGGAGGCACGGCGCACATCGTCTGAAAAAACGTCTGGTGAACGGAAGCAACTCTCGCTGTCTGCGAAGGCCGCAATGGGCTCTCACTTTGGAAAGGGAGTCTCCCGAACCAAGTTCAGCCCAGACGACGAATGGGCAAAGCCGACGATTTCGACTAGCGTCCGCGGTGGTGGCAAACTCATGGCAGATTTTGAGGCTAGCAAAGATGATCGTCAACGCCTTCGGGGCGCCGCGCATCCTGAACTGGAGAAGCGACAGTTTTCATTTGCGGACTGAATGTTTTCAGAGTGGAAGTAGGAATGCTACCGTTTGTTCCATAAAATAATTTTTTCTTCATGTGAATTTGTAGTTAACAGGTTTATACTCGTTTCCATGCTCATATTTTTACATACTGTTCCCTCGAGGTCCGCTCTAACGAGGTTCGACCTTCGTCCCTTCAGAGATCTGTCACACACGTTCCACGCTAGCTGACGGAGTCCTTTTCAGCCCTCTTGCGCCATCCACGTGTTTGAGCCCAGTTGCGCACACGCAAGTAGAACAAGAGAAGCCGGAACGTAGCGGCACAGCAGATACAAACTACTCTTTGTTTTTTTTTTGTTTTTTTTTGGTCGATATATGGCATGTAGTTGAGTATTGTATTTATTGGCATTATGTTCTGCAGGTCTCTCCAGTTCTCGGCTCTCATTGAGGTGATAGACTATAATTGCCTTTTCGTGTTTTTGAAATCCAGTTGATGGTCTGACTTTTGTGTGTGGCTTATCTGTGCCCTTTGTACTCTTCTAGAAACCGGGTTGGCCCCTTCCCTATTTTCAGTATGCTAACTTTTGGGCCTCGCCACTGTCTCCTTTTTTTTGTTGTGTACATCTATTCTGCTGAGTTGGCTGCTGTTCCTCTGTGATTGTAGCCAAGCGCGGTGCTTTTTGTGTTCGTGGCACTCGGCTGCCTGTGTTGGTCTTTGTGCCCTGCTGACTCGATGCCTGGTGGCTCACTGGCTGCGTGTCCACCTGTCACCTTATTCGGGACCAACACACGAGCGCCATCACCGTGCAGTTGCCGTGTACCTTCCAAATAAAACGACGTCATTTGAATCATGCGCGCGTGCACGCGGCGCTTGCACATTTTTTGTTTTTATACTGCATCCGTCCTACATACGTAGTTGAAAACAACTACAGCCCTCAGTCTTGCACAGCCAGGGATGTGCAATCAGCAAACGCTTATCATTGTAGATGATGACGAGGTTGGCCGTGAGTGGGCACATCCGCCATCGTTCTTTTGGTGCGTAGGAGTTCACCACTCAACAGTTTGTGCAGAACTTTCGTGTGTCCGGGGAGTCATTCGTCTATAGCTGCCCTCATCAATGACCACAGTTTCAAGCACCAGCGCTAGAGCTAAAGGCAATTTCAGTGGTGGAAAAAAGAAAGAACCGGTGCTAACCTGGGCGCTGGCCTGCAACGAGCACTCGCACAAGCGAAAATGGCTATTAGAGTTGGGGTTTGTTTTAAATCGAATTTCTGTCCACATGAAAGCTCCAAGATGTTCTGTCGACGGCTGAGAATGGCGCTGGCCTGCAACGAGCACTCGCACAAGCGAAAAGGGCTATCCGTTTTTTTTTTTGTTTGGTTTTTTTTTTTGATCGAATTTCTGTCCACATGAAAGCTCAAAGATGTTCTGTCGACGGCTGAGAATAATGCCTGCTGTAAGTCACCAATATTCCGTAACGAACAACATTTTTTTTGTTTTTCTTCTGTGGTGTTTGTTTTGAACCAGCTCTGATTGGGTGGAGATCCTGGAGCCACGCTCCCGCGAGCGCATGTATGTGAACTTGGCCACCGGCGAATGTGGCTGGAATCCTCCTCTGGGCGCTCCCGTTCGCCAGGCGGATGGCAACCAGTGGTGGGAGCTCTTTGACCCCCAGAGCGGCCGCTTCTACTACTACAACTCTACTGGGCGTCGCACCGTCTGGCATCGGCCGCAGGGGGCAGATATAGTGCCCCTCTCCCAGCTCCAGGCCATGAAGCGCCGCAGTGAGGCCGAGCGGGCGGGAGTGGGTGCGGAGAAGCACTCGCATGGCACCGCCGGGAGTCTCAGCAGTGTGGGGAGCCAGGGCCCGGTCGCACTTCCGCCTGAGCGAGACGGAGACAATCCGGAGAGCGCGCAAGCGGCTTCCAACCCGGAGCCGGACCCGGCGGCGGATGTCGGATCACAGGCAGACGGATGCGGCGATGAGCGCAGAGAACCGCAGAGGTGAGCCCCCGATAATGCTGCGCTTGTCTCTACTCGAAGCCGAGTGGGACTTGTGGTTCATCACTCGCGGATCGCGTTGCCAGGGGAAATGACGATGGTACAATGTGGCTCGGTACATCATAATTGGTTTCGAATTTTTCCCAAAGCGTTATTTTGACATTTGACCAGCTGGGTCAGTCTCAAACTGTGTTTCCATTTCCCCTCGCTTATCGAGCAGTTCCACATGTTCTGCGCTTTCTTTTCGACTGCCAAATTCGGCTCTTTGAACAAATGGCTACCAAGTGCGGAGAATGCTCAGTTATCCTGTAGGTTGCGCACGACGCGACATTCGCCCGTCTATCCTCGCTTGGCTGACGCAGAATGGCCCCAAACAGTCGATCCCGTCGTCTGCTTTGCGTTGTGGCCTCGTCTAAACCGCCGATCTCCACCCTTTAGATTCCGCGCATGCCACGTCTGTTTCGTCTGGCAAACGGCCACCGCGACAAGCTTAGTGTCCTTCTGTGTGCTGACCGGCACCCCGAGCTGCCTCTGCTCCACTGCCATTAGAATTTTTTTTTTTCCGAAAACAAATCCCGGCTCCGGGCCATCAAAGACCGTTTGGCCTCTAAAGTATGTGCGTGTGTGCAGTTACACGAGAGGCAAGAGAGAGTGTTGCCTGCCGAGGCGCTACATTCCAGCCGCCTCCGAACAAGTAACCCTGCGCCGGGGCGACTTTGCCTCTTTCGGATTCTCGGTCTCTGTGACCCCATCTTTTCGGAACGCATGGAGCGATTGCTTAGTCACGGCTTCGGAATGAAACTATCGTAGTGTCGACTTTGCTATCTTGCAGTTTGTGGGGAGAGTTAAAGCCACCCGCTGAGTGCCACTCTGCCCCGGTGACTCAAACTTTCCCGGAACCCTTTTTCTGTCGCCTCCTAACTCAACGCTCAGCCGTGTTCACCAGGGGCTCAAGCATGTTTTGCCCACTGGGCTCACGAGCGTATTTCGCCATACGGTCCTCTCTCATGCTCACCGGGCGCCCCTGGCTTGGCAAGTCATTTGGAACCGTATCAAAATTCACAGAGAATGTGGCAGTGAGGGAGAAACCTGAAATGAGCCATCAAGTCTTTGCCACCGTGGTTTGTGGCTTCACATAGTTGTCCCGTGTGCGCTGATGCAGCCATCCATCCAGCCAGCCATTACCTGACCTGCTTCTCCCCACAAGGGTTGCGGGCTTGCTGGAGCCTATTCCAGCCCACATCGGGCATGTGGGACGAAGCCGGAGTACCCGGAGAAAACCCACGTGGGCACGGGTAGAACATGCAAACTCCACACAGGAATCGAGGCCTGCGCTGTGCTAACCCGCCGTGCCGCCGGTAGCCATATGATATCTTCTGTCTTAACGCTCTCTCATGGTTTACATATCTTGATTGCTGTGATCTCAGTTGAGATTGTAGCTTTTGGGGGGGGGGGGAAACAAAAACAAAAAATGAAGCAGTTCTCTGTGAAGCTTTGGACACGCTATTTGTTCCGCGACCAGTTTCCTTTTGTTTAGGGGTAGTAATATCTGCTTATAATAGATAAGACACTTTCAAATGTTTCCAAACAGCATGCCGCCACGAGATTCTAAGTAAGGCTCGCCGCCTTTGCTTCTGCTCCCATTAAGTGTCGCATGCTGGGAGATTTTTTTAGATCTGTTTCTCATTGGCAAGGTCTTCTTGTCTGACTTGGCAATTTTGGGCTACTTTGAGTCTGTGGAGCTCATCAACCAAGTGCTGCGCTTTCTGCAGGTAAACGTGTCTGTCACATGTGGTTCACAGCGGATCTCTTCCCATGATGTCAGATTCCGAAGTGCGAGGCATAACCTAGTTCCGAACATCTGCTTTGAATTTCACCCTGACTTCAGTTTGTGTGCATCTGTATTCAAGGAAAGGACAATTGAGATGGGTCGTCACTGCGTGTCAGAGTGTGCGTGTGGGCTTCCCTCCGCAGCCCTTCAAGCTTCAGGAGAGCCGCACGAGCCGACTGACGGCAGCTTGGTTTGAAACGGTCTATGTGGTTCACGTGGGGGCCACGGCGCTTTTTTTTGTCCTGTGGGCAAGTCACGGGTGTACAATGAGCCACTAGCAAAGGCTCCCACTCCAAGGCCACGGGTTCAAATCTCTGGGTGGACTCAAAGCTTTGTCATTAGCGAGACGGCGTACGTTTAAAAACGGAAATGTGTGAAAATGTACTTCGTGGGGACCTGCGACGCTACTCCATGATAATTGACTCACCTTTCTTCTCGAATTCTTACACCACACTCTTGAGTTCGGAGGCGTTTTTACCAAGGAAAGTACAGGGGGGGGGAAAGGTGTAAAAAGCCAAAACAAAACTAGCTACTCCCCATGCGCTTGCAATTGTCTGGCAATGAGTCATGAAGAAGTAATCATCGGTTGGCTCATTTAGGAAACAAGCGGGTGTTCTTATAGGTTTGAGAAGTCCTGAATGAGTCACATTTGGTCAGTATACAGAGGGACTCTGAGGTGGTTTTCGGCACCGCAAGGTTATCACCACTGCACTTTTGTGTCCACTGGAAATGCCAGTTGTATCTGTCAGCTTTTGGGGTGGTTGGCTCATTTTCTGCTTTTTCCACCCATGATGTTGTGAGGGTGTCTGGAATAACAAATTAGGTTTCCTTTTTCCGCTCTCCCTCTCTCTCTCTCTCTCGCTTGACAAAGTTCACTTGAACCTAATGCTTTTTTGTGCTGCAAGAGCTTTGGTCCCTTTTGACATCTTCATCAGAATCCCCCCAATTGTGGCTTGCTTTTAGGGGAACTACACGGCAGCGTATCTTCAGGAGGAAGTCAATCCAAAAATTGTCTTGACATCAGTCAGTTCTATGCGTCTCTACTCGTCTAAACACGGCGTCTAGTTCAGATTGGATTTGTGGAATACGAGATAAGGAGCAAACTCCACCCATTTGTAGCCGTCTTTGCGGGCGGCCATTTTGCCACTTGCTGTCGACGGGAAACGATGTTACCGTTTTGCTCAGGTAACGACTGATCACGGCTCCCCTCTTCACTGAAGCTCACGCATGATTGGTGGTTACCCGAGCAACCGTGATGTCATTTTCAGTCGACAGCAAGTGGCAAAATGGCCGCCCCCTGGGACAGCTTGAAATACCGTTCTTAATGGGATCAAAAAAGAAACAAACAAAATAGTGCTTTTCTATTTGTGCTCTACTCTGCCATTGAGACGTTCTGGGACTATTTTGGAAAGTTGGACAGTGTGCTGTAACAGGATCACTCTTTGACATATCAGAGGTGGTTTGCTTCCCGCTCAGCCTTCCATGTGATGATCCCTTGGCCCAGCTTGCCACTCATGGCAGCGGCACCCGGGCGGCCCCCGCCAAAGACACGCACAGCCGCTAGACATCTTGGCTCAAGCGGAGATGTGTCACTTCAGCTGTTGTGTGACAGGTGGTTCTCAGAAAAAGCGGTCTTTTACAAATGCTTTACTTTGGAAAAGACTGCTTGGTACTACTACCTTGTCCTCATCGAAACGCTTTTGTCTTGTCCGGTTTCTTTCCTGCACATAGAGACTCTTGATCCCATTGCCCAAGCTTCTGAAACGAGCGCGTAGCAGAAGTCTCGGCTCATGTGGTGTTGTTGAAGAGCATCTTTGAGCAACTCTGAAGATTGAGGTTCACCTTCAGTCCTCTCCTCCCCCACCTTGCACCCTTGTCGTCATTGGCGTCTCCGTGACGATGGCGCAGCCACGCATTGTGTGAGACTCCCCACACAGGCACGGCGTCCGCTTTGAAAGAGCTCTGTGGAATGCCCGCCTTCTCGCTCATTCCCTTGCCGCGCTCTCCCACGACTAATCCCCACCCCTTCTCATTCACGCATGCCCCTGCCGTCCTCTCTTGTCTCTCGGGTTCTCCCGCACCCACGCATTTGCCTCGCCAAGAATACAGACGGGAGATTCATGTGGGCCCTCGCATGAAGCCCCAAAGTTGATTCGGTTGGGGCCTGATTTGGTTGCAGCTAAAGAACCCGGGATTTGCTTGCCGTGGTCACGCGTGTGAGGTCTGCGGTGTTGTTCGGAAGCGCAACCTTGATGTTTCTTGAACGACTTGCTCTGGCAGACTGATGCAAAGTCGTCAGCTGCGTGTTAACTGCGAAGGCGGGAACAATTGTGTCATGTTTGTCTCGCCGCCTGACGTGACCACGGTGCTAAAACCTAGCGCGCTTCAAAGAGTGCAAACAGTGGCTTGTCAATGTCACGGCTGTGCCTTATCAAGCTCCCCGAGTCACTCCGTTAGCATACAGTGTCACACGTACGTGTAACGAACAAACAAACAGTGGCGAATTCCCTTAGATCTTCGTGTTTTCACGCGCGTCCGTGTCCCGTTGTGCATTTGGCCGTAAACTGTCTTGGTGAGGTGCCAGGTGGCGTGGACCCAGCTGTTGGTCGACATTTCAACGGCGAGTCTTTGTGCGACCGTTGGAAGCCCAGACGGAGCCAATCAAGCTGCAGAAGTGGTGTGACTCAGAACCCCGGGAGGAGGTTCGTTTTAGCTTGGAGGGCTTAACGGAAGTTTGCCGTTGGACTTTGGACCTCAGGGGAATTGTTTCAGCATTGTTCCAGAGTTGTGGGACGGAGTGGGGAGGGTGTGGGGGGGGGGCACTTCAGCTTATTCCCTCCTCCCTTTGAGGCCTCTTCCTGCCGTTACGACCAAAGATTCTTTCTTAGTGCTCTTAGAAAAGGAGAAGACTTTGGCTCTTGAGCTTGCCGCAATTCTGTAACTGTAATTATTTACCTTGGGATAAACACGACAGGAGGTGATCACCTTTTGGTCTCATTAATCAGGTCAGCGTTGAGTACAGCGTATTAAGGTAAGTACGTGTGTGTTCCTCTTCTGACCTTTAGCGTGCTTCCAGTATGTATGCTGCGTCACCTTGATTTCGGGAGCCCTTTCAACTGAATTGAGGAGATTCTTTCAGAAGGGCAAGTGTGTTGAACGATAAATCCTCATTTCAGGGTCAGCTTGTGATGCGACAGAGCAAACTAGCGACCAGATTGATGGCAGATTGCTCGGAGTTAGCCCAGCCGCACAACCAAAAGGAGAAGAATTAACCTTTGGCCTTAAGCCAAGGTCTTTTCACCGGAGCGCTCCTACAATTCGGACTTCTCGAAAGGCCTTCCGTTTTTTGGTTGGTTTTGTTTACTTTTCAAATGTTAGTTTGGTCTATTATATGAAAAATAGCAGGACTTGACAAACATGAACCTCCTGTTGCCACCCTATCCAAAATCCCTGCCGTTGTTTCCCACTATTACTGCGTTTGAACCTATATTCACACTTGGCTCGTGGTTGATTGTTTGACATCCTGAATTGCCGATGTAATAGGACCAAGGCAACGTCCGTGGCAATGTTGCTCACGCGAATTAACAGCTTTCTTTGCATCGTTTTCATTGATTCTGCGCCTGTCTTTCCCTCAGGAACGCCTCTCAAAGATGGCAGCCCATACCCGGTTCTAAGGCAGCAATGTTGGTCAAGGTGAACAGCATGAGTCGGAACCAGCCAAGCCCAGCTTCGCAGCAGCAACTCCTCCAGCCCGGTGCGCTCAACAAAGGCAACACGTTCACCCAACACCCATCCGGCATGAAGGCCCAGGGAGGATGTTTAAGCTCCACCCAAGGATATAAGACCGCCCCCTGTGGCAAAGCGACATCCGACCCGCGCCAGGCCCATCACCAGAGAAAAGCCAGCAACGGCAGCTTTTGCGTAGCCACGTCAGATAGTAGTCAAGCCAGTCCGCTCCTTCAGCGGTCGCAGACGAGCACGCCGCGCCCAGTCTCCCCGCAGTATGCCTGCAGCGCCCCGATCTATGACGAGCCAGTGACGGACTGCCCCATATACGACGAACCCCCAATCGACATGGAGGTGGAAGGAGCGCACCTTTTCAATGGGCAACAGTCGTCCCGCCCCAATCCCTCCCAGAGTCTCCAGAGAGCAAGACTTCTCCAGCATCTCGGTGCTTCTCTTCCAGGTTCCCGGCACAGGAGAGGTCCTTCCGCCTCCGACTATAGCCCAGCTGGCCTGGAGTGCATCAAACATATGATCAATGTCGACCCCAAGCAGCTCCTCTCCGGCTCCCCCTTACCCACACGCACCCCCTCGCCGACATCCCGGCAGGGCCTCGTCCCAAACCCGCCGGCCCAGTCGCAGGCTCACTCTTTGCCCCAAGTTCGAGGCCTGCTGCGGGCCAGTGAAGCGGGGGCCCCAGGCCCGAGTACACTGGATAAGAAGCAGAGTTGGCGAGTCCTGGAGGCCACAGTCCAGCGTGCTATGGAGGCACGGCACAGTAGGCAGAGCAGCCAGGCTTCGCAGGACTTCACCTCCTCGACGCCGCAGGCAATGGCAAACTATCAAGACTCGGGCTACTCCACCGGGCCCTCTCCGAGTTTGAGACGAAAGAGCAGGAGAAGGATGGGAGCCGCTGGAGGTGCGGGAGCCAGGCCGGGGTCAGTCGGCAGCAGCGGAGAGCTGTGTGCCCTCAATGAGAGGCTGATGGCTGAAATGAGGGAAGTCGTCAGTCGCTCCAACACCATGAGGGAGGTGCGAGCGGGACTGGAACAGGAAATAGGCCAGACGCCGGTTGCGTCCCAAGCGCGCTCCCCCGTAGACCCGCGGAGGTGGTACGCCGGTGGAGGCGGGGGGCTGCCAGCCGGCGGGTGCTCATCCCGAGAGGACCTTACTGGGGCGGCCGATGCTCCCGCCAGCCCCCTCGAGATACCGGCGAGGCAGAAGAGGACGTATGAAAAAGTCGATACCTTGGAGATGAGCATTCCAAGCCAGGCCAGCCTGTCTTCGCCCGAGACTCCGGGACCACCCTCCCAGGTGAGCACCACCACCACCACCACCACCACAAGCTGTGTGTCAAACCGTAGACAAAACAAAACACCAAAACAAAAACATCTTTCAGAGTGTTTGACGGCACTCTAGTTGACTTGTCTCATTTGTGAAAAAACGTTGAGTGAAGGCAGTGAATCCAGGACTTGATCGATTCCTTTTTCAGTTCAGTTGCGCTCGGCCACGTTTAAACAACAGTCGACAGTGATTGGCACGCTGGCCTCTGGCGAAGATCTCAGCATTAGCTGCCATCCTCCATCTGTCCTGCTCTGTAGGTGCTTTCAAGTCGTATGCCAGCTCTGTGCGCTTGGGCATCTGGTGCCCAGGCCAAAGCGGAGATTCAGGACATGGCCTCCCTTCTTCAGGAAGCGGGGACGCGGTGGTCCATATGGTCCAGGCTTGGCAGGGAAATTGTTGAAAAGAAATGCTCGTGTGGAGCCTGATTGGCCAACGAGCACCGGGCCTGACTAACTCTGTCCTGGAATGTTACTCAGACCTCAGACCTGTTGGCAAATTGCTCACGCACACTCACCAGGAGACTCACCAGTTATCGGATTGAGAATTGCCTTATTTTCCCACCGTGTGTGTTTGTTGTCAGACTTTGAATTGATCGTGTTCACTGGAAACATTTCAACTCCGGGCCTTTCTATGAAACCGTGAATTTCTCATGAATTTATGTCTTTGTTTTTTTTTTTGTTCATGTCAAAGTTCGATGGCTTTTGTCTCTTTTCCCACTTGACTTAACTCGGCAGGAATGCAAGTGTCATGCCTTCTGAAGTCCTCCAAAAATAGTTTCACAATTGTGTCATGGAGCTGCTCTACGTTACATCGGGATACAAATTGAAACGGGCACCGCCGCTGTTTTTTGTTGTCGTTTTTTTTTTTTTTGGTGGGGAGGGGCTGCGCGCCGTGCACCCGCGTTTCCTATAGGCCCTTCTTTGGTTGCACTTTCTGCCTGCGCAAAGTAGGCATGGATATTCAGAACCGACATTTTAACGTCTGAACGATTCCGGGAGAACCGGAGTGTTAGTCCCGGTTCCACTCGATTCCCGGTTCTCGATGCCCAACCCGACCTGCTATCATTCGTTTTTACTTTCCGTCTATAACTCTTCTGGCTCATGTCGCTCCATCTCTTGTTCCCCTTCAGGCGAGCACCCTCGAGCTGCAGTCTCAGCTGGAGAGCAGAAAGAAGGACATGGTGGATGGACGCAGCGCATCCCTTGGCCCCCACCGACCTGCCACCCGTGAGAACAGAGAGGGAGCCGATGGAGCGCACGCTGCGGAATCGTCCTACCAGTTGTCGTACGCCACCCTGCGACAGCCGCCGCCTCCGGACGGCGGCATCGAGGACTGGGCCAGCAAGCACCTCAACATGCACACGCAAGGGCTGTTCCGCCGCCGCGTCTCCATCGCCAACATGCTTTCTTGGAACCGAGGGTCCATCAAAAAGCCCATGCTGGTCACGAGCGACCGCGCTGTCCGCAAGGAGGCTTGCGAGATGTTCAAGCTGGTGCAGGCCTACATGGGAGACCGGCCCTCGCGCCTGGACCGCCGTCACTGCGCCCTACTCATCGTCACCAAGTGCTGGGACATGCAAGGCCTGCGGGACGAGTTGTACGTGCAGCTGGTGAGGCAGACCACGGGAAACGCAAGCCCCCGGAGCTTGGCGGCGGGTTGGGAACTGATGGCCGTCAGCTTGGCCTTCTTTGCCCCGTCGCCCAAGTTCCGCTGTTACCTGGAGGGCTACATCCAGAGACACACGGAGCCCACCAGCGACAAGAAATGTGAGTCTCAGACCGAGCAGCAGGGTGGGTCACCTTTTTTCTGCCTTCTCAAAGTCCCTTGAATGTCTGACGGTCAGCTTGACGTAACGTGATCCAAAACGGAATGTGTATTCGTGTCTTTGCGCTCCCTGTTTCTCCAATGATAATGCCCGGATGGCCGTGATGATTCAAACTCGTCAAAGGTCAAATCAGGATTGTCAACGTCACGATCTTCTGTTTCTTGACAGTGACTCAGTTCATACTGGAGCAGCAGGAGCTGAAATTAAAGAAGAATTCAAAATCCAGGAAAAAGCGAAAGCAGAACACAGATGAGGAAGAAGGTAATCTTCATTTAATTTCCGCCAAAGTGGTTTTCTGACAAACAGCCGTATTCTGTTAATTGGCAATTGTTGTTTTTTTTTCCTGCTGCAGTCAAATGTCTCGTAATAAACTCAAGCTATCGGTAACCGAACCTCCAACCTAATTCTTCCTCTCGAGAGTGATCTCGTTGAGTGGAATGGAAAATTGTGCTGCGTGCGCTTTGTCAGATGAGGCCACGGTGAGGTCCTGTATCTGCGGATTTGATAAATGACTTTCACAGAAGGTTCATTTGGAGAGAAAAGAAAAAAAACAAAACTAGGTAGGAGGAGAATTTCGGAAGGATCTGTTTGCTCTCAATGCCCTGTTCTGTGAATCATATCTCGGTGGTCTTGGCCACCTCATCGGCACGTGGCCCCATTTGAGCAACCCACACGGCCAGCTGTGACGATGATGTCACCGTAGGACCGCAGTCATCTCTGCAGACATCACAGCAGTAGCCTCCCGCATGAAACCAGAGTGACTCACAAGCACCGCTTTATGCTCGCTCCGAAGTCATGGAAGATACTCTTGAGGACACTTATTCAGAGGTTCCCTTCAATGAGTGGACCACTAAACAGATAAAAATGCATGATACAAATGGTATAATGAGCTCTATTGACAGAGGAGTTGTGGGGAGGGCAGGGGGCGAAATCGGCTAAACGAAAGTAAATTCGAAGAAACACACTCACATGTTGTTTTCACTTGGCAGTCACACACAGTCTTGTAAACAACTGCCAGACGAAACCAGTGTCACCTTGTGACACTCTCCGCAAACGCTCTATACTTGAGATAATTTTAGTCCAGGCCATATGTCAACAGGTGCGGTGCACTTGGGTTGCCTGGTTGCAGTTTTCATGCCGTCGATCCTAAATATAGAACACCGGCGGGTTTCGACCCCTCTACCGCGGCAACACAGGTCCTTGCAAGTTTTGAGTTTCTGGATGACTGATTCTACTCCCCCGAGCTATCCGGCGAAAACCACGAGACGTAATTACAGTCGAACGGATGAGTCAGATTTGCCCCGCTGTCGGGGGTTCAGCGTGGGAGTCACCTGTTGGCTGTAAATCTGCAGCAATTTGATGAGAGAAACCTGTGCGGTAGGTGAAGTGATCACTCGAAATTGTCCCCCGGTATGAGTGTGAGCGTAAATGGCTGTTTGTATGCCCTGCGATCGATCGGCTGGCAGCCAGTTGAGGGTTTACCCCCGCCTACTGCCCGAGGACAGCCGGGACAGGCTCCAGCGCGCCCGCCACCCTCGTGAGGCTCAAATGATGAAATTGTACGGATTATTTCGGCCAGATTATGCACTTGATTTTGGAGTCAGCCAATCCTCCATTAAGCATATCCAGTTGGTCCAGAATGGTGCTGCCCACCTCTTGACTGGTACTCGAAAGAGTTGGCTACTCTTGAACATCGCGTCAGTAAACTTGTCCATCGGGTTCAGCCTGCATGTTGCCGAGTCCGGGACGGGGATATGATATGATAGCTTCTCTTTCGATGGCAATTTCCTGACCCAACCGAGTCAAGTTTTCTTTTTCTTTTTTTCTTTTCGACTACAAGCGTACAGAATTCCTTTTTCTCCAGAGGGCAGATGGTGTGAAAGATTGTACTGGATCGTCAAAAAAACACAACGGTTTTCAAATCAATTCTGGCCTCGAAGTAGCTGTGAGCCACGTGCGTGTTTCCCATTCATGGCGTGGGTCTTTACGTGTTGAATCACCTGAACTTTTGAGTTTGGAGGCGGATCCTGCTTCGAAAAGCTTTTGTTCCGCAGCGGTAAATCTTCTCTCAACCCGATGGTTCAGCCAGTTCTCCTCTAATCCCCATATGCTAGAATCGCATTGTCAACATGCCACCAGTTACCACTCCCTGGCCTCTGTTAACCACTTTGACATTTGTGGGGGGGGGGGGGGGATGTCTTACATGTGGGAACGAGTTTTTTTTTAAACAAATATGTGAGGTTAAAAGAGGGTTTCTGGTGGATGTGGGTGTGTTGCATTGTGCTTCAGTGTTTGATTTTTTTTTTTAATTATTATTTTTTAATTCTCATCAATAACAGGCCTGCCTGTCAGCACCTACGCCAAGTTCTGTCATCGGAAGCTGCAAAAGGTGGCCATCACGGGAGGGAAAAAGGTAAAACGGCTGCACGCATGCCGGCACCTCCGAGATCTGGTTGACCTCAGATGTCATCATCTTCGCAATCCATTTTTTTCCCCATTGGAAATGTTGGCTAGTTTGTTTCAGGGGGACACCGCCATCAGAAAACCTTTTTTGTAACTATTTGAACAGTTCCCAAGGGCACTCTTGCTTTTCATTTGATTCTACTTTGTTCAGTGTGTGTTACTGAAGTAGCATTTGGCACTAGGAAATGTGTGTTACGCATCAGGGCTGTCAAAGTTTAGTCACACTGGATTCAATCAGAGAGAGCGATTTGATTACAGGTGCGTTGACTCAGTCGCAGGTAGCCAAACAGACCTGGTGCAGTTGTAGACCGAGCCATTATTGCTTTAATGGTTCCTGACATAGTCAGGTCATGAATCTGACATTCTTTTTTTTTTTTTTTTTTTTTTTTGTGTGGCCTGCCAGGGGCTACGTAAGCCCACCTTGGAAGAGGTGGACCACAGCAGACGGGCCATCATCACTCCCTCCCTGTTTGGTAGCTCCCTGGGGGAAGTCATGGAGCGGCAAAGCGAGCTTTTCCCAGACAGGAAATTACCCTGGGTGCAAGTTCAACTCTCCCAATATGTTCTTGCTCTGGGCGGCGCTCAAACGGAGGGCATCTTTCGGTAAGTCGAGAAAAATCAGCCAGTGGCGTGCCTCAACTTGAGCAGTGGGAAGAGTCCAGGAAATTTCAAGGGGATCTTGTTGTGTTTTTGTGTATGCACTGTGTGTCAAACACACTGTGTGTGCGTGCGTGTGTGTGTGTGTGTGCGTGTGTGGTCTTCTCTATCCCCTCACATCAGAGTATTTGTTGCACTCATGAGAACCGCACTGTTGTGTGTTTAGCTGGACCTTTCAACCGAGTGGGATCTACTCAAATGCGTGTGTGTTTGTTCACATTTGCAAACTGTTGCTGATATTAATACATCACACAATGACTCTCGATGCAGTGTTTCCTCGTCGGTGTGTTCTTTGCCAAACGTTTACATTTATTCTGCTGTTTTTCTTCCAAAGCACCGTATCAAAAGACAGGCAAGAATCATGAGAGATGGATGTAGGGGTCCCTCTTGTGGTCACTTGATGTAATTGATGAGTTTTGTTTCCCCCTCCAGAGTGCCCGGAGACATCGATGAAGTCAATGCATTGAAGCTGCAGGTAGACCAGTGGAGGATCCCGGAGAACCTGTCGGACCCAAATGTTCCCGGTGAGGAAGGATCCCGTTGACGCATTTGGGTTTGCGGCCCGTGTTACTTATGCGGAATGTTTCTCCATCAGCCTCTCTCATGAAGCTGTGGTATCGAGAGCTGGAGGAGCCGCTCATCCCCATGAACTTCTACAATCAGTGTGTCAGCAACTGCGACGATCCCGTTGCAGCCATTGCCGTCGTTCAGTCTTTGCCTGAGCTCAACAGGCTGGTGCTCTTCTACTTCATCCACTTTCTGCAGGCAAGAAAGAGTTGATGCGTTGTGTGTACGGCACTCTCCAATGTCATATTTATGATTGTCTCACCTGTACCTTAACCCACTCAAGCCGAGGAGCTTAGCTGCACATTCACGGGAAGGCAATTGTCTGTCTGCGTTGCTATTATGCAAATTAGCCCCAGTGGCATGAAATAGAAGTGCAGAAGCCCACGGACACATTTTCAGAAATTCAATGATAAAATGAAATTGACGTGGTTGTTTCATTTGGCACTAAATGTGGGCTTCGGTGGCACCACAAATCCAACTGTGTGTGTGTGTGTGGGGGGGGGGTAGATAGAGAGAGAGGGCCTTTTAAAATGTCAAAGATTGGTACATTTTGGACAGTCGTTGAATTTCCTCCTTCCATCCGCAGGTGTTTGCTCAGCCATCTAACGTAGCTGTCACCAAGATGGATGTGAACAACCTGGCCATGGTGATGGCCCCCAACTGCCTCCGGTGCCAATCGGACGACCCTCGCATTATTTTTGAGAACACGCGTAAAGAGATGTCCTTCCTGAGAATGCTCATCGTTCACCTAGACACCAGTTACGTGGAAGGAGTGGTGTAGACTCCCAGAAGCTCTCTCTGCAGAATACACTGGAAATACGCGGGATGAGACATGACACCTCAGTGAGAGACGAAACAAATGACCCGAGGCATCCTCTGGTTGAATGATCCTAAACTATGCAGCTACGTAGTCTTAAGGCCAAGAAACTCCAAACTGAGCCTTTTTTTTGTTTCTGTTTCCTCATATCATTCAAGTGCGCTCGTGTGTATGACCGTCAGCGTGAGACATCTCACCGTGCACAGGTTTGTTTTGAAAATACAAAGACAATCCAGAAGTTGCTCATCTGATCACTGGTCTATTATATGGGATTTTGAGTGCAGAGTGTACAGAGCGCAAACCTTTGTGACTGAGTTGTGATGATTATTTTCGAAAAACACATTTGCGAGTCGTTCTGACCCTCATTACTCATTTGAGGGCAAACCGATGATGTGTATGTCCATCATATGTCTTTGTGAAGTGGGAGATGACTTATTTAATGACAATAATAATCTAGAAGAAATTTCAGTCGGACCTCTGTTCTATATTCTTGTGATCTGTGCGCGTTGTGGCTCAGGTCTTATTGGGGGGGGAGGGTAGCTTGGGGTAACTGTACCATAGACAGTCTCCCCACAGACTAAACATGTCATCATTGTGTCGAAGCCCTTTACTGAGAATGGACTGTTCTGCTCAACTGTCAAGCATTCTGAGAATGTCGAATAAGCTGACCGAGTCCTCTCTCTGGCTTTTCCAATGTATATATAGCGCATGTAAATAACATTAACAGTTTATTTGAATGAAGGATATGAGTGGGAGATGCTGTAAAGAGCAATAAAGAGGTTTTGTAATTTTTTTTTTTTTTTGTTTGTTCTGCTGTAACCGCCTGCCTTTTGAACATAGGACTGACTCAAACCACTCAATATGTGTAGATGCTGCACTTCCTTGTTTGACGATAGAACAATTGTCCATCAATAAAGGTTTGGTCAGTTGTGTATTTGTTTGCATCCTTTTTGTCGTTTGGGATTGAGATGAAACCCAGTCGTGGAGCCCCAACAGTCCTGTTTACTTGGCGAGAAATCGGATGTCTAAACAAGTGGGCTACTATTTTTGATGAATCTGTGTTGTCCACCCAACCCCCCCCCCCAAAAAAAATAAATTGGCAACCAGACTGGTGGCACTTTTATTTGAATAAAGCTTCAATAATAATCACAGCATTACAAATTCTGAGTATGACATGGACGAACAATTCAGCACAAATGTAGAACTAGAAAATGCACTTTCCCTAAAATATTGTCTGACATTAAACCGGTCCGTGGGGCAAAAAAGGTTGGGGACCTAAGTGTTTTTTACGGTTTAGGCTAGAGTGGGCCAAGTGCCCCCGCCACCGTCCTTAACTCCCTTTCTGACCACTAGATGGAGCCAATTTTAATTTCAGCCATATTGCTGAATCACAGCGGCGTTGTTCAAACTTTTTAGCATTGAAATAATAAACTGGTCGGCAGGAATCCAAAGAACTGATTTTGAGGTAAACCGATGTTACATTTTGACACTACATACATGCGGCAACACGTTGAGAGTGGTCATTTAGTTTGATTTTTTTTTTGCCTTTTGTGGGGAAGACACCCCCACCCATAAGGGTAAGATGTCCCTATGAATATCTAAAGGTCGTAGCCTGGAGTGATTTAATTACCCCCCAAATGTGTAAACTCGGGCATTCCTCTTGAATGCATATTTTGTTGATCTTCAAATCTTTCATCTTTTTCCAAATAAATGTTATTTGTTTCTTAACGGGGCCATCCTACCCGACACAAGTTACGAAAATTGCGTAACCAGCAAATCGATATAAATATATGCGTATTAAAGATGAATCAAATCATTTTATGAATTCACTGATTTAATTGAAAATACCCAAAGCATTTTATCGTTTAAAATTAAAAGGAATCAGGATGGTGACGCGGGAACCATTGTACGCGCATGCGCCACGCAGCCCGCGCCGGTGGTGAATGCAAGTGAGAAATTCAACTGCGTGATCCGCGAGGCAAACAGGCGGAGGCGGCGGTACCTGTTTTTACAGAGGATTTCGACTCATTTGTGACACACAACCGGACTAAAGGTGACTGGGGAACAGGTAAGAAGCCCCAACCGTATTCCTCGTCGCACTTTTGGGTACATAACTGGCGAAAAAAAGACCCCGCTTTCGGTGAAGGCAGCTACATCTTGGCTGGCGTAGTGCCGCATGTCGGCGTTTTGAGTTCCAAACAAATGTGACGAAGTCGCCGACACAGTGTTGCTTGTTACTGTTGGCGTCGCGATTCGTGTATTTGCCGAGGTGTGTTATCACATCGCTTCCCGCTTGGGGCCTCGAGGTGGCTGTTTGGTGTCGTAGTTGGGGAAGTTAAATGCTTTGTGTTGCCACGCCGCCGCGCTCCCAACCGAGAAAAGTATGGAGAAGTGAAGGCCTAGCGCGAGGCCCCAGCGCGCTAGCTAGCTCGAGTGACGGCTGCCCGCCCAATCGCAATGCTTCCCCCCGCCCACGTTAAACGTTTTCCACCAATCGGATTCACGTTCATCCCGACGTCGGCAAAAGGGCTTTTCGCGCTACGCCTACTCGTTATAAAACCCTCCCGTATAATAAAGTCTCAAGTCCTGGTCGAGGTGGTCAAAAACGGCACCGCAAACAAGTGCATGAAATGAAACATCAAGTTGATATAATTCGATGCTTGAGGTTTTACAAATGTGCACAATCGTGCGTGCCCGTTCCGTCAGTTTTATATCATCGCACAATGACATATTAGTGGGTGTTTTGGAATGGATTGCGACTGGAATGAGTCACTTTGAACCTGCCATCGCATCTTTTAATGGTGCCCCCCCCCCCCAATTCTCGTTTCCTGTGTCTGCCTTGGTGCTGTTGAGTCCTTGATGTGACAATAAAACACACCCACTTCTATTGCTGTGTTTGTAGCCGATCCCATTTCGAGCGTAACGTCAACGTGAGATCGACGATTCACCCCAGACAGAGCCGGCCACGTGGTGGAGCGCCTTACCTTTTGTGTCTGAACGGGGGATCGGCTGATCGCAAAACACGTGGGCCGAGAAGCGCGGTCGTATCCGGTTTGTCGGTTGCCGTGCAGCGTCGCCCTTTGAGGACGCCCAGACGGCCCCAACAAAGTCCCCATTGCGCCATTGTATATGTCCACCATTCCGATATGATGGTGGAATATCATGGTTCTATGATGGGCTGTGCTTGCTGCTATTGGACATGCTCGGGTACTACAGATGAGGTCCATTCGTTCATAAAGGTGAAGGGGATGCTGATCCAGATTTTTAACAACGATGAATAGCTCATCTCATTACCATTTAAGGGGCCTGGCTCACCGTAGCTTGTTATTTTCCCTCTGCATCATCTTCAGAGTGTGTGTGCTTTGTCACTGTCCTGTATTTTCGACACACACAAGATGCTCAGTTGGGATACAGTGGTAGTGATGATAAGAAACTGTAAATTGGTGTCATTTATGAGTAGTATAGTTTTTGAATAGTGTGTGTGTGCATGTGCGTGTGTGTCCAGGAAGAGAGCCTTGATGTGGGCAGTATGAGTAAGACGCCCCCTAACAGAAGAGGGATAACATTTGAGGTGGGAGCTCAGCTTGAGGCCAGAGATAGCCTCAAAAACTGGTGAGTCATGGCCTCATTCATGCCTTTCCATCCTTGAAACTCCACTTTCACGTTTGCTTCATTTCCTTCCTGGGACAGTGTTTGGTTGCTGTCAATCGTGTCCGAAGTGCTTCGAAATCTCAAGAGCTGGACACAATCTGTTCTGTGGTGCAGGTTGTTTAATATTTTGCACGTCTAAAATAGTGTAACTTCATTCATTCTGGATTAAAAGAAAAACTTCAACTGTACATACAGTGTTTTCAATTGAAGGGGAAGTCAAGCGATTATGGTATATACGCCCCCTTTTCCACGCACCTCCACTTGTCCAAACCTGGCATTCATATTTTGTTTGTGGAAGATGAATGATAAAAATAAAAAATACACCAGTTTATAATCCATTTCAAGGCATGGCCATTTTGCCCCTTGCTGTCCACTGAAAATGACAGCACAGTGCCATTGTGATGTCATTTTCAGTGGGCAGCAAGGGGCGAAATGACCGCCCCCTGAGATGGATTAAAAAAAAAAAAAAAAAAAATTAACCTTGGAAAGTGTAAAGCCCCGGTGACCC